CCATCTCAGGATACTGTCTCCATTGAGCTTCCAATTCATTCTAATCCAGCAGTACATCAGCTTCACATAGAATTAAAGCTGCCTTCTGTAATTCCTGAAATCTTGTTGTCCTCTGGCAGATTATTCTGCAAGGCCAGGTGCAACCACGGAGAATGCTGTGGCTCTTCTGGATGTTGAATGTACCTCTCAAAAGGAAAACGCACTGATAGATAATTCTGTGCCAACCTCAACTGGCATGTGGGCACATATTGGGAGAGGCATTCCTTCAGATATGTGGGTCCCAGGTTGTAAAGGGCTTTGAAAATTAAACGTCACTTTAAGTACTAAACATAGAAGAAAGGCATGATATAAATGTTCTGATCTAAATAAAAACCACTTTGCACCTGTTTCCAGTAGGAGTTTGGGGCTTTCTTTCTCCTTCAATTGCCACCCCGTAGTGGTAGGTTATTCTTATCCATCATGTTACCTCATTGGCTGTCTCTGTGAGTAACTATAATACACATCTAGGATTAAAGGGAAGAGCTTCTGGGTCACTCGGTGCAAACTGAAGTCACGCACCTCTGATATTAGCAAATTAAGCACTAGAATTGGAGTTCACTGACTATTTCGGAGGGAGGGGAGTACTGTCCAAGCCTGCTGTTTTCATCACTGTAGGAGTGTCAGATCTCATAAGGTACAGAGCTCCTATCTTTTTCCTGCATATGTAACAGGTGTCTTTTCTCCCTGTTGGCTGCAAACTGCACTTGGCACTTGTTGAAGCCCTAACCCTCATTAAAAAAAAAAATTAAGACGCATTCTTGTTGAAAAGGTAAAATAGCATGGGAATAGGAGTATATCTGGAGAAGTATATCTGTCGGTTATTCACATCACAGGCACAGTTCAATAGGTGCTTGCAATACTCACAACCATCTGCCACATGGCAATCCATAGAACAGTGGCAATGCTAATCAAGTGAAGGAAGGAATCAAAGTTTTGGTTGATTTTTGCATGTGCACACGCACACATGCTCAGACCTGATACACCAGCTGAAAGGAAGATGTTGGAGTCCTCAGCATGTGAGTACTCAGCTTGGTGTATTCATGTAGCAGAATATGTGGTCAAATCTAGAGGTATTGGAGTAAACTGAACTGCTACAGCCAGCCGTTGAATGATGCCATTTCAGGGTGTTTCCTCTCAAAAAAAATTCTTACTGGAAGAAATCTAACACACAAGGCAGAAAGATCCCAGCCCATTCACTGCTGTTCTAATTTTCTAACTTTTGGGGAATCTTTTTACATGGGGGAGAGCATTCAGAAGTGGCACCTTCCTCATGATACAGCCTGTCTCACGACTGGCAACTGAACCACTTCATTTTGCTGTATGTATAGACAGTTCCTGTGTTTCTCAGATGGGAAAGACTGGGTCCTAATTTTTCCCAGTAGGCAAAAATTATCAGTGAGGAATACACACACTCTTGGTAATTGGACTAAAAAAAATGAAAATATTATGCACAGTGCACAAGCCAGCAAACAAAATAACACAAAAGCAACAAACCCTTCAAGTAAAGAAAATATATTTTATAGTATACAGCATATAATGCAAGGACAGTGGAAAAATAAATATACTACTAGTGCATTTCAGGCAAAGGAACTAAAAATATTAGGTGAATGAAGTAAAAGAAATATAGATATAGATATAACACATGGCTAGTAAGAAAAACATCCTAAAAATAAATAGCAAATAGTTACATGGTAATAAGATATACAATGGCCTACAGTCATTTTCACCTCCAACCCATCTAGCTGAAAGCAAACCTTTAACCATGCGATTTTGCGCAGAATTATTCCAGTCTGAACCATTGATTTCAGTGAGCCTAGATTCTCTGGAGTTCTTCTTTTATAAGTATTCCATCTAAGAATCTCCAAAAATGTCCCCAAAAGAAACAAAAGTACAACCATACTTCAAAAGTTATGAAATAAGGAAAAGCAAATCAATAAAGGAGCAAAATATTAGGAAAGGAAGAAATAAAGCAGTGAAGCAATAAAAGTGGCTGGGAAGGTAGAAAATGAGCAGGAAGGAGGAAGACTTGGCTGAAGATGGGATAAAATTTGAGAAGCTGGGAAAATCTGCCACTGTGTGCTTTGCTCTGGTCTTTTATACCCTTTTTATTGATCAGAGACAGCCCCTCCCATTCTTGGCACACTTTTCCTGCTTATCCAGTGATCAAAGTTTATTAGCTAATTATTTTGTTTGGAGGTGATAAAGATGAAAAAGTAGTCCAAGAAATTATCTTCCTTGCCTATCAGCTTCTCATCAAAGGAACTCTCTTAATTGTTTAGTTTCCTTTGCACTTTCAATTGTATTAAATTTTATTATATTTAGCATCGGTTACATAGCCCAAACATGCCACTTCTGTCTTCACATGGGGTATGCCACATCTCTGAGCTCCTGTAAACATGTGTTTTGGCTGCTTTTACTTCTTGACAGTCTTCTTGACTGTCATAGCTAGTCCTGTAGTAGGTGAGACCAGGATAGTCAGGTTGGACTTCTTCAGGATTCAGAGACCAGGGGACTGCAATAACAACATGTAGCATAGAATCCTGATACTTAATACAAAAAGCTTTCTGTCTCTTACTGGTGGGGGGGGGGAGTCAAAGACTGGTAGATCTTTGAGGACTGTAAGTCAAAGACTAGTTGGTCACTGTGTGAGACAGGATGCTGGACTGCATGGACCACTGGTCTGATCTGTCAGAGCTGTTCTTATGCTCTTAAGACTGAAGAGACTTCTTCTTCATGAAGAAAAGCTAATGTTTGTGAGGCTTCCTGTAGTTGAAGGTGTGTCTGCTTTGATTTTCATAACTCTCATTTTTTTTGTCTGATTAGAATAACATTTCCATAATTTCCATTGAATGCAATAAGCAGTGAGAGCAGAATTAACTTTTGTATGCACTTGGATTTTTTAAAAAATTGACTCTAAAATTGCCAGCTTCTGACCCACAGAAAGTTCCAGTGACTTCAAGAGCTGTCACATTCAACAGCTGGATATTTTTGCTTGCTAGACCTTTAAAAGGCACAGGACCATCCATCTGAGTCCATTGTTGCCAAGCCCCTATGGTACTGAGTATATTCAGCACTCCTTATCAACTCATTTGTTGACATCCTTGGCTATTCTTTCAAAATGTGTGAAGGAAAGAGGAGCTAAAGAAGTCCATCTCCCCAACTCATGTATTGAACAAACTGGGAATAAACAGAGGAAGTTTTGCATGTCATTCACATGTGGTGATGGGAAAAGACAAGAAGTGTCTCATTTTGGCTTGTGTAGCTATGAAAGGTATATGAGCATTGCCAAGTAAAATAGGTAGCAACCCTACCCTGTACTTCCAGATTAAATCTTTGACAATCTCTGTCTCTCTGTTGGTGCTGCAAGTCTTGCAAACGCTACCATGGATTGAGTTGCTCCCTCCGTTCTCCTCTTCCCATAGCTTGTTATTTTGTTTGCTCCCTGCTGGCTTTCCATTTTTCCGTTGAAGTTTGACCACCCTTCTGCCTGGACTGACTCGGTCCAATTGCCAATGGGCATTGAGGCTGAGCTGATTACAGGGTGGGGACACTGGTAATGCTGGAAATAAGAGCTTGTTGTTCACTGCTTTTGCCATGAGTAACAATCCTGGCTAGTGCAAGAACTGCTAACTGAATAGGGGGGCATTTACAGATAACGACTGGATTGGTCCTTGCATGATTCTGCTACCCATACTGTAAATTTAGATGTCTCTTCCACTAATCTCTCTGAAGAACCTTCTAAAAATGAAATGGCTACTGCATTTTGGCAGGATCAGAGTGAACCCAAGAAACTTTGATCCCTGAGTCAGAACATCAAACTCCCCCACCCCGCCCAATAATAAACCAAGCTACTGACAGTCTGCTGTTTTTTAATAGTATCCCAAAATATGGGCTGTCCCATTTTGTCTCCTGGCAGGGCAGTCAGTGGGCAGGAGTTATATTAAAAACAAAGGGGTGGCTCATTTCTCTTATTTCTTGTACACACATATGCTTTTGCTCCTGGTTTGGTTTAACGGATGGGACCTCTGTGGTAGTGGTCGTAAGAACATAAAAAGGATCCGCTAGTTTAGCATGGTGTCAGCCAGCCAGATGACTTCTGGGCATTTATTTTTTATTTATTAACCTCATTTATACCCCACCTTTCTTACCAGTGGGAACCCAAAGTGTCTTGCATCATTCTCTTCTTCATTTTCATCCTCACAGTGACCCTGTGAGGTAAATTAGGCAAGACTGTATGTGACTGGCCTAAGGTCATCCAGGAACTTCAGAAGCAGGTTCTTGAGAGAAATGAGCCAATGCAGTGTAGTGGTTAGAGTGTCCGATCTGGAACACCCAGGTACAAATTCCGCCCGACCATGAATCTTAGTTGGTGCTCTTGGGTCAGTCATTCTTTCAGCCTCATTTACCTCACACAGCTGTTGTGTGAGAATGGAGGAGAGAATGGAGGAGGGAAGAATTATGTACACAGCCCTGAGCTCCTTGGAAGAAAGGTTCGATACAAAGGCATTAAACTTTAAACAAACTAACGAAATATAGGGGATGACTATTCTCATTGCCTGCCTTCTCTATATATGGAAATCACACTCCTAGTCATCCTGGCAAAGGGCTTCACCGCAATGTCCCATGAATACAATACTTCTTGTAGCACTAGAGAGAAATAAAATCTTCCTTGTTCCTCAGAGGCATGGAAAGAGAGCTGGCATGGGGTGGTCTGGCCGACAGTAGCACCCATCAAAAGCAGCAGCTGCTACAGGCAGCCCACAGCGTTTTGACGACGTAGCAACTCTTTTTAGGCCGACTGTGTGAACTAGTCCTAAGATTATTAGAGAGTCGGTTTATATGTATACATTTCTGTGCTCTAAGCGAACATCTCAACAGCAGGGAAAGGCACCCCAATGCGTTTCAAAGACACATCCAGGGATATTGTTAGCCGTTTCATTTTTTTTTCCTTTTTTCCCCAGAGAAAGCTACTGATGGCTCCCTGCAAAGTGAAGACTGGGCCCTCAACATGGAGATCTGCGACATCATTAATGAGACAGAGGAAGGGTAAGGGAGCTGATACTGCTAGGGCAGGTGATGTTATCTGTGTGCCTGGATGTGTCCACTGACACACTTGTGAACGCATCTTATTATGTACTCTCTATGCTAATGACTGGAAAATCCTCTGACTGTATCCAATTCCAGCTGGGGATCTGTTCTTCGGAACATTAAGAATACAGTCAAATTACAGAGATGAACCAGGAAAGAAAGTGAAATTTCCCCCGCTCTTCTCTGCTCTGGTGCACATATACTAGGCGATACAGCGCTGACATATCAAGAAACCTGGGGAATGCCAACCCCATTGATGCCGAATCCTATAAATAATTTGCAGTGGGCTAGCCGGTGACCTCAGTAAAGAAAGGAACAGCATGTGCTGGAAGTGGTGCTCCATGGAATGCGAAGCTGTGATTAGATGGCTGCAACTGCTCCCCCACAGAGGAAGCGCCTCTAAGTACTTTTCATTTGTGTAAAATTTGAAGCCAAGTTATCTGTTTCTTTTAAAAATATATCATCCCCACTTTGCAACCCTTCTGTTTTTGTTCCAGCCCCATATCCAAGTCCCCATATGTGCCCAACATTAGCTCCATAGCATATTTCTCTCCCCACTGCCACCACCAGTTTCTTGGCTGCATATAATTCCATGCCTACACATCTGGTTTATTGTTCATATAATTTACTTGGACCTAAGAGAGAGTGGATTCCCATCTTAAATTGGCTCTCAATTCCATGACTTCCCCAGGGCCACTTGGCATCTCCCAGCCTAAATTTATTGTGAGGATGGATATGATGAATGTAGGGAAGCACTTTGAATGTTGAAAGCGCCACAGATGTTCTTGTGCCTTGTAATCATATTTCACATCTGCCCTTCATCATGCTTTGTGCAGAGCCAACCCGAAACATTTTGGTGCCTGAGGCAGAAAAAAGGAAGAAGACATGCTAAATAAAGTAGGACAAAATCTGCATGCACACAACGCACACATTCTCTTTTTCAAGCCTTATAGAGCCAGGTTGTTGATGGGCCTCTCCAGGTGAGACCACATCCGGCCGGTGCTGCAAGCACTGCACTGGCTGCCAATAGCATACCGGATTCGCTTCAAAGTGCTGGTGCTTACCTTTAAAGCCCTGAATGGCCAGGGTCCGGCTTACCTAAGGGACCGCCTCTTCCCGTATGTACCCTCAAGAGCACTGCGATCGAGGAATACTCACCTCCTGGAAGTACCAGGCCCCCAAAGTGTGAAGCTTGCCCAAACTAAGGCTAGGGCATTTTCGGCGGCGGCTCCTACATGGTGGAACGAGCTCCCGGAGGAGATCCGGGCCCTGCAGGACCTTGTGCAGTTCCGCAGGGCCTGCAAGACGGAGCTCTTCCGCCAGGCCTTTGAGGAGGAGCCGCCACTATTCCACCATTGAGAGTTCATCATTCATCTACCCCATTATTTGGAGAGATAGATGTCGCCCATGAGCCGGGAAATACTACTCCTGGTACTCATGCAATTAAGAAATTGGCCGCCAACGCGGGATGTCGTGCATCTTGGTTTTTATATGAATTACTGTAGCACTGAATTTTATCATATGTAATATTGTCTATTGTTTTAGATTTGAATTTTGACTTGGCCGTTGTTAGCCTCCCTGAGCTACCGGATAGGGCGGGGTACAAATCCCAAAATAAATAAATAAAATAGAGTGAACCAGAGCCTTCAACAACATATTGAATGAGAGCTGTTCAAGAGCCTTGCTGTGCACTGCTTCTCTTCACTGGGGCTCACCTGTGAGCATTTCCTGATTGGATGCTGTCCTGTGGATTGCATCTGCCCCCCCCCCCATGTCCTTAGTGGCACCTGAGGCCTCCTCTGCCTTTATTATCCCAACTCCGGCCCTAGTTCCTTGCACTGCAGCATTCATTCCACCTCCGTATAAAAAGTAACACAGAGATGTTAACTTTCCATCTGTAATATCTCAACAAGGCTCCGAGCACTGAGAGAGCTGTAAAAGGGCTAAGAAAGTGCTATTGTGCTTATGTTCTAGTTCCATTTTCTTTTTTTTTGGATAAGCTTTATTCGCTCCCCTAAAAAGGGGAGATATTTCGCTAAAAATTGGTAATAGGGAAGGGTATAAAGAGGGACAAAGAAAAGAGTGAGTAGTATTAGTAGTATGTTAGTCTGTTAAACCTTTTTATAGTCCAATCAGAGAGTCCACGTTTTTCTTCTTCACCAAGGCTTCTTCTTTTCTTCTATGATGTTAATCAGATAATTAGTAAGTTAGTATTGTCCTTCTGGTAGTTGATATCAGTTTATTCTTCCCAAGCAGAATCCACTGATGAGAGAAAGATAGCAGTTTTTAAGTTTTATAGCTCTTCCCGCTTTTGTCTCTCAGGTTATAACCTGACGCTCCTCCTTCTTCCTCGTCCTTCACCTCTCCTTCTGAGCTGCTGTCTTCTACGCTTAACGTCGACATCCATAAGAACATAAGAACATAAGAGACACCAATGTTGGATCAGGCCAAAGGCCCATCCAGTCCAACACTCTGTGTCACACAGTGGCCAGAAATACCAGTGCCATCAGGAGGTCCAGCAGTGGGGCCAGGACATTAGAAGCCCTCCCACTGTTGACCCCC